AGATCTTATACAGCTTACTAAATATGCAATGATTCTTTCATGTGTATTGATCGGGCTAACATACAACGCGGAATTCAGTTATGCTTTAAATACTTCAGCTTAGTTTGCTTAGAAGACGGTTGGTTAGAATAATGTTTCTCTGCTCACCGAAACTGTTCGCTGAAGAGATAATTGGTAAGAATTAGGCATTATTGAGCGATACTTGCATGACAAATGCTCTTCATTAAGTGTAGTGAGATGGAAACAAGCGTAATTAAATACATGATAGTAATAAGGTGACTATATCGTACTTCGCATTTGAAGTGTATGGGCTTGAACAAAAAGACAACTGCAAACTTGATGGTTTTCATACACCATCCAAATTGCTCATTGGGATGGTTGAAAGTAAACTCTTTACCAGGTCACATAGTATACCGAAGGGTATACATTTGGAAAATAGTGACAAAGATTCTTATTTACATTTTAGAGCATATTAATCAGTATTTAAGGCCTAATATCTTAGAAGCTTGGATCAATGGGATCTCCAAACACGTACGTCTCACTGTGCAGTGTTGAAATATCAAAGTTATCAGCAATCGACCGCTTTTTGGGTGCTTTGCAATTAGTCTCATATCCCCTTTATAACATTAATTTTCGGGATCCATCCTAAGCTCTAGTTGCATGACCTTATCATTTCTTGTCTCCATGCTTTTTCGTCATTTTCTACTTGATTATAAACAGCATAATAAATCATTTAGCAAAGAGCATCTATAAAGAGGTATTGCCGCATACTTTTCAATGGAATATTCTAGGATCGGTTAATAGAGTAAATTTGTCACACGTCACGTCACACAAACTACTGAAGAAAAATGAAGCTATTTATTGTAGAAAGTTTAACTTATTACTTACGAGAAAATAAATATCTGTGTTCAGTTGATGAACGATAATTTGGGTTTGAAGCTACACTTGTGGTCAGCTTGCTACGATCTCCATGCAAGTTCTCATATAATTCGATATCTAGTAATTAAAATAATTACTGATATAGCATGTTGTCACTTACTGCGAATTATTCTTAAAACATCATACTACTTACTAATAATTAAGTAGTATAGATAACAGTTTTACATTTTGATTTTACTGGGGTGTGTTCGGAAAAATGGTTTTTTTGTTCTTGTTTGGAAATTAAAGTACCTACTGTGTGAAATGTCTGTTTGGTTTTTAGGCATACCTCCTTGTCATCCAACGCATACCAGCTTCATTCCCTCAATAAATGTGAACAGAATTGCAGAACAAATGACGTTGTTTTACTGAGATTCATCACCTGCATACGGCTTAAAATTACGTATCTTAAAGAAGATAAACGATAATTTATTCATGATAAGAATGCTGTCGGTCATAAGACTTTCATGGAAGGGATCTGCTTAACAGTCGAGGAAATATGTAAACCTAGGAGTGATCAGAAAAAATAAGTGTAGTCCAAACCTATTGGTAGGATGGAGGACATGATGTAACCCAAAATAACAACTAATCATAAGCGTTAAGAAAGATTATTCGCATTCCCTTTTGGTAAGTAAAAAGTTCATTTTAAAAATATCTGGTTGTAAGAGCTTCAGAAACGCAGCTATTTATCATCCTGAAGTTTAGTTCTCATCACTTGTCTGGTGCTTGCAATTATAAAAATATAGGAGTAAAACTTGGGCACTGTGGTAGATTGTAATCCCATTTTAGTCTGTTTATTCGAAATATCACGCAGTGAAACAGTATCATTTACCGGATAACGTTTCAGACATAATTTATTGTCCATATATCACGTAACTTCACAACTTTAAGACAGTTCAAATAGTTCTAATTTTATCTTTTCATTAGAATTATATAAACAGTGTCTTAAAGCTGTGGAGTTGCATTATATGAATATAGACAATAAATGATGTCTGAAACGTTATCCAGTAAATGATACTGTCTCACTGTGTGACGTTTTTAATAAACTGATTAAAATGCAAGTATAAAAATATTTCTCCTTTTCAGACATAAATTTATTGAGCCATGCTCATAAAATCTTGTAAATACTCTTCTTTCAGTCCTTTCTACTTACTTGCTCAAACAAATGGATTGGTAAACGGAGTTCGATTCAGACTTTTGCAAACGTAAAATGTACCTGCTTTATGACTAAAAAGACGGAAATTTGAGTAAATGCATGTTTTTTTTTATATCAATGTTTCATTGTGAAACGCAACAGCACTAGGTAATACTCTGCAGTTATTTAGGTTGATTAATGACATTGACAAGAAGACGGTGGTTAGTGAGCCCATCACGTGAAATGAAGGCGTCTTGATAACCTCTCAGGATAGGCATTTGGAACACTTAGAAGCATGGCTCAGCTGACCCATAAAAACGCTTTATTTATCAAATATCTAACCCGAATGCGATGTGGAGATCGGTCCTGCAACTCTCTTTGAAGTTGATAAGGCTGTCTCAAACCTGGAACACTGTAAGGCAGCAGGACCTGACGATTTTCCACCCTAATATTTTGCTGAGTAGAGTAGTCGAGAAACTAGGTAGAGTATAGGAAATAGAAGTAGTCTCACCAGACTGGTCTACTCCACTGATCATTTCTGTCTATAAGAAAAGAAAGAAGTCTTCCTGTGAGAAATACAGGGGAACCAGTTTGAGTAATGCCGTGTCCAAGATTCTTGGGTTTATAGTTATCCGATGTCTAACTGAAGCTCGAAAACAACAAACGAAAGAAAGCCAGCAGGTTTCTAACCTGAACGAGGCTACATCGATAAAATCATTGCATGACAGGTTCTAGATGACAGGTATACTTACTGGTGATAAACAGTCTGCTTTTTTAACGTGAAGTTGGCCTTTGACTCTGTCCACTGAGTGGTGTTGTGATAGTGTCTGAATGTGAAGAGAGTACCGAGCAAGTGTGTAGTGTTATTCAAGGCTCTCCACTTGAAATCATGCAGTCGTGTAAAGACTTATGGAGAGTTGTCGTCTAAGTTGATAACCAGTTGTTTCCCTTAGGGACGCCAACTATCACTCTTCCTAATCAACTTTGTTATAGACGTACGAATGAACACAACTTTGGGTTTCTCTGACTTCACTATCATTGGCCTACTCCCCGGAAAGCAGCTCGTTGACTTGAAGTATGCAGACAAATTTGTCCTACTAAGTGAAGACACTGAAAATGTACGGTATCTGAACGCCTTCAGCAGAAATCTCAGTATGTTTGGCATGCGTCTCACACCTGACAAATGTAGGATTATGCTTCAGCACTGGCCTGTAACTACTCCTAGTTTAATGATTGGGAGTGTAGTGATGGAATGTGTCAACCACTTCATTTTCTTGGGGTGTTGCACCAACCAGAACGAACTGGTTGCTGATGAAATCTCAACTCAGATACAGAAGGTCCGTTTGGAACTAGCCAACTTGCGCAATCTGTTGCGCCAGTTGGCGAGATATCCGACCACTTATTTAAGGACAGACAGAATGCGTTGCAGAGGCTTCAAAGTATTGTACGAAACTTTTCAGGACATGGGTTGTACAACTCTTCAGTATACTTGGAAATAATCTTCCGCTTTTCTATAATCCTGATCTCACTTTAAATATGAGAACTGCTGCAAAAATGATTCCTTATGAAGAAACGTACCTAATAGACTTACCAAGTCGTTGGCTTGATATTTGTTTTGACAGAAATAGTTTGTTGAGTTATTATTGATCGAATGACTCCACAATTTTCATTTTGGATGAATTTATTCCATCCAGACGTACCTCCGAACACTATCCTGCGTGGCTGCCCAAAGGACAGTATAAAGCCATCAACAGTTCGATTCTTGAGCGTTTGGTTACATCTGGTCATTATGCTCCAAGAAAGTCTTCTTTCAAAGTCATTTATAAACTGAAGGCAAACATTTCAAAGCAAATGCGTATTCACCACCCCAACACAGCATTAAAATCCTGTTGTTTCTGTTCAAAAAAGGTACATTCAATCTTTAGTTTTGCTTTGGCCATAATCTCCCTAAGGCAGTTTATTAATTTCTTTGTTTATCTACTATAATCCTATGAGCAAATTTTGATGACCTTGACTTGACCTTCTGGCCGTTATCACCCTATGACCTTATTTGCCGTTTTGGATGACTGCAGCGATCTAGTTGCAACTATGATTACGATGTACAGCTTTTGAAAACGATTCATCGAAAGAAAATTTTCTTCTCTGAATTGTCTTTTATTAATTTTATTGGACTTTAGAATTTACTTAAAACCGAAATAAGTAGTATACTGTATAATGTGAAGTTTTGTAGCTTTTTATTTCTAGTTGCATTGGTGTGGGTAGTGGGAAGCTTAATAAACACTAAATGCTTTTGCAACTGAACCACAAATCATGTCTTCGTTTCATCGTTAATCAGCACTCAGTAATACAAGTTTGCCAGCCTATAGTCATCTCAGTAGTCAAAACGATATAGAGCCTTTAGTCAATTTTTGAATCACCGTTATTGTACTGTAATTGTGTATTTTTGTCACAAGTACGGAAAAAAAGCTACGAAGGTAGCACCAGACATTTTCGAAAATTCGACCTGCTTTTCGTGATCCTTATTTTAACCTTTTTATGCCTAACAGTTTGTCGACGAATCTGAATTCTATTCCCTAATCCTTTTTATGCTGGCTATTGCATAACCCTTTTTTGATGCCATTTTCCTTTAAATACCTCGGCGTAGTGGATTATTAGGCCAAATAGATTTACCATTGGTGAAAAGGACCAATATTTCTGAAAATGCTTATAGATCAGTCCTAGCCGTAACAGGTACATTAAATACGCATAAACTGTTCCTCCAGTCCTTCTTGTGAATATGTGAATTCCTCCCAATAACACCAAATAATCTTATACACAGACGAATTACCGGGGGTCATGTGGCAAAGATATAACTTAACCGATAATCTGTCTTACAATAAAAATTCCTGTGGCAATCAATTCTAACTGCACCGAAAAACCCCTGGTTTACATGTAACAATAAAATGTATACTACTCAAATAGTTTATTAGTAAATGGCGTAAAATAAATAAATAAATAATGTAATGTCATTTGATGCAAGTTTGTATATGTAAACTCTAAAATATTGTTCAAATTTCGGAAAAATATTAGGTCTGACTGCATTTAATCTTCTTGTTTAAATCAATAAATGCATTACTTGGGGATAATCACACTGAAATATAAATGAATGTTAAAAAAGATTTCAAACATATGGTCTCCATAATGTTTCGTGATTAGTTGACTCCGTTGAAAATGCTCTTCGACTGTCTAAGCCTAGAAGTGAAGTATTATTGTTGTGAAAAATATTCTTATTACTTGTAAAACTTTGTAAAGATTGGTTTGTATCATTATACGAGTACATGTAACACTTGGGATAGTTTTCATCTTGTACTGTTATTTTTTCTTCATTTAAATGACTATTTAAAATATCTGGATATAGTTTAAATTGTGGTGTAGATTGTTTCAGTTGGGTTTGTTGATATATCTGATTGTAACTGTTATTATTATTGTCGTTGTTCAATATGTTCAATGGCTGACGTATTGCATTTTGTTCAAGTGTATCGTAATAGCAAGATGGATAATAATTTAAATTTTTTACCAGTGTACTCTTGTAACAGTCGTGGTGCCTATCAGTTGGTAATTGATTTTCTTTATTGATATCATCTTCTGTTGAAATTAACATAACTGGCTGGTAACTCAATGAATATGGGTGATGCGTAGATGGCGTATATTGATGGTGTTCCTTACAAGGTAAATTATAGGAATATGTTGCATACGGATTCGGACACTGTTGAATGTAATCATAAATTGGATAGGATACTTTTGATGGATCAGAACTTTTGATGAAGTAATAGTTTGTTGATTGATTCTGTAGTGGAAATGTTAGATTATTTGTACAATTTTGTGGATAGACTATTGGTGAGGAAGATTCAATCTTAGGTGGTTGCGTTATTTGTTGTAATGAAATTACCTGTTGTGAATTGGCGCCATTATTCGTTGTTTTAATACGAGTCTGATATAACTCTTTTTTGAGGAACGAAACAACTAGTTCTAGAATATCAGCTTTCTCCAGTTTCCGATGATGACGAGGCTGAAATAAAAAAATTTAAAAAGTAAGTAAAAATCGTCAGATTGTGTGAAGATTGGGAGCAGTTTTCATCACGGATATCATCTAGATAACCACTAAAAATTACGAAATACTTTGGAAGTTATTTTATCCGTGGCTGAGATGCCTTAACAGTTACTGACTTCAGAGCAAATCTTTTAAAGTTCCAATAAAAAGCCGTGTAGATCAATGAAGAGTATAAATGCAGCGGAAAATTTTAGTGAATCATGGAAGTCAGTAAACAGTTACTGTGTTATACAACAGTTGAAGACAATAAAGAGGTTTTGAAATGAAATGAAGGTTGTTTACCTAGTAGTGACAAATCTACAGCCTATACAACTTATTTTCAGTCTGTGTAATGATAGGCGTTACTGGTAGTGAATTCACTAAAACAGAAGCAAAGGTGTAAGACGCACCAGACAATTCCAATAGCCTAAAAATATGATACCTCGATATGTTGATTCAGGTTTCCACACTTTGAGCGGTAGCATCCAGAAAGTGAATCAGTAGTAGGAATAAAAATGGAGAAAAAAGGTACTGTGAAGTACTAGATCACATGGGAATCGGATAAGAAGTGATGATAATTCAATCAGTCTTATCGATTCTGAACCACATTAACTAAGGCAAGCAACCAATAATGCCCGTTAGTATAGATTACTGCTCTTTCCTGATTGAACACAGTATTGTATTTTCTGTTCTGTTTCAACTGGTGTCACACATTCTAATGGATACTAACTTCTTAGGTGGTACACATGGTCTTATCAAACTAACGGTTACCAACTTATTTACCCTTTAAATTCCAAACCTCAACATTTTAGCAACACTACTGTTGAAAGAAGTTTTATCGGTAACGCTTATCTTCGAGTACTGTCTTACACTCGCCTAATAGGCCATGCCATGGTAAGCTATTAAAATACGCTTTTTGAAACAGTGAGTGTTGCAGTGACCTTATAGGTTACCGTAGCAGTTACAGAAATGACCGATTACATATCTATATTTCTGGTTCAAAAGACAGTTATTCATAAAATGCAAAAATGTAATCAGCGATTTCAGTAGTTGTTGGAGTGGCGTTTAAAGTCAGGGAGTTTAAAGGCCGTCCTAGAAGCTACACTACTGTTTCCAACGCTGACCCTATTGAAGCTCAGTTGTGTGAATTGTAAACCAAGGGTGGTACAATTTGTAAGTCGTTTGCAGATTTATCTTCCTGTTGTTGTTCTTGATAATTTCTACACAGTTTTTTTTCCAAAAATAGATTTCACCTACACACTGAATACTCAGTTTTTTAATTTCAAGGTGATTTTCATTGAGGACTGACATAAGTTGAAGAATCATTGAATTGCGATTACTTGAAAACATCCAGTTTATTAGTGTTACAAATTCATCGGACTAAATTTATCAGCCATAACTCAGATCATACTACCAAACTAACATATGCACCTTATACTTCATTTTATCAAACAAAAGGAGGCTTCCGTTATCATATCAGATGTAATGCATGTTTGAACATGTATTACTTATGCATATCACTATTTTGTACTTTTAGAGTAGGTTTACTCAAGTTACTTGTTGCTATGGCTTTATTTGGTATATGACTTTTAGTTAAAGCAAGAAATAAATCGGTCACACTAGTTCAGTGTGTTTAACTGATAAGTTAGGCATGTTATTTGGTGACTTTATGAGCCTGCATCAACTTAGATATGCTAGGAAAATAAACATTAGTTACTTCGCATAGATTGTAGCTTGTGAGTATTCTGTATTATTTGAGAGGCAGAAACAACATATTCACAGAAAAACCTCATTGCTTGTAGCTGCATTGCACTGAACCCTGATGTTCGATGTACTTTGTACTTTTTGTTGACAAGTATCATAAACGTGTATCATTAACTATGAACAAATTCACTTTACCCTAAAGATTTAAACCAGTGCCAACCACTTTTAAAGCCAGAGACTTTACTTCTTTTTAGGGAGTTGTTCAGGTGACAACTAAACCACTTTAGGACCGGATCATCTAAGTGGTTTTGTCATCGAATGATAAATAACATAACTACTCTTATATATCCTTACGCATATGCAAACAACCTAAGTTATACAAGAATTAGTGATTGGATATGGAATAAGACTTCACTAGAGGACAAGTTTGTATCAAGAGTCTGTGTGACTCTTTTTCCGCTGCCGTTATGATATTGTTCTAAGATGAATCGAAACCTAGATTTTGATACAAATAGCTCATTGTGTAGGGCAAGATATAAATGATCCATAGCATCCTAGATAGAGGCTCTAACTAACCGAGATTTCCATTGCGAATCAGTAATCACTCTCTTACCCTATAGCACGTAGCACTCATAAAACTTAACGGTATGTTTTACTCAGATTTTATGCTGACATTCTTGATTCCCTTATTACTCTCTAGAAAATTATAACTGCTGTTAAAGTAACTTGATTTCAAAGCAAACCACAATAGAAATTTATGGCCGACTTGGGATCTAGTTGTGCCTATCTCGCTTCGAACTGGAAGTCTTCTGAACACTTGCAATTAGCGATTATCAAGGTAGGACCTGAGAATACTGAGTAACTTTTCCATTTCTTAAGCAAACACATCACAGTTCAAGACAACAAGGTGAAAGACAGAAACGGAGATAATGCAATGAAAAGTTGTAGAGACACAAATAAGAGGGGGCTAATGCAAACAATGATATATGATATAATCGTAAATATAAAGATAAGGTATGAACACATTTCTGTAACACTCAGGTGAACTCTAGCTAATATCATACGGAGTCTGCAGCTGTCCGCTTCAAGTGTCTCACGAGATCCAACCTGAAAGCTTACACTTCCATACACAGATTAGACCAATATTCAGGAACTTTATAGTTTAGTTAGGCTACCTTTAATTTTTCACCGACCTAACTCTACTTTATCTGGTGTTTTGCATCGAAGTAGATTGAAATTAATCTTGTGTAACAGAAGTCCCTACTACTTCTGTCATTAAAGACTCACAACTTCATCAAGTGACTTATTTCTTTTACTCGAAACTCTGCACCTAGCCTTACGTGCTTGCTCCACGACACACTAGCAGTGATACATGAATATTAGTCCCCTGGTAACTGAAGTATTCTCATATCCCCCACCTTTCAGAAAAGGGTAAAAGGTTGCATAGTACAATTGACTCAGCAAAGGCATTGAGATATTTCACTTTGCATTTATCTATCTCTTTAATGTCTGATCAACGAATGAATACCGTAATCTATCCATGTGGCGACAGTATAAGGCATCTAGAGGTTAAAGTTTATCAGTTATTAAGTCTTACATGTAACTTTTTTCATCGTTTCTATTTGGTTCTGAAAAGTGCTTCTGAGTAGCTGAGCTTGACACCTAATAAATTTTAATAGTTTTACTTGCATTATATCTACTAAGTGCATGGGTTTGAAAAAGAAAACCAGATTCATTGTCAAATCATAAAAGTGTACATGGGTAATAACTTCAAGTCTTAGCTGGAAAGTAATAATTGCTTTAGTACATATAACTACCGAAGTGAAAGTAAGGCTAAAAATGAGTCATGAATTTCATTACTAACCCCCTACCAAGTGAATTCTTAGGTCAAAGTGTTTAGACAAAGAATCAGGATGCTACAACAGCCTTATCACTTCGCTACTGCAAATCGAAAGCAGGATAGCTGAAACTACAGCTGCATTGCGAATTTTGTAATAACTTGACAACTTGACTTGAACTATAATGCGTCTAAATTACCATGGCTTAAGAAGTTCATTGTAAGACTAATTATTTGGCTTTCTATGTTAGTACCGCTAAAAAGGAATCAATTTACGGCATACATGTAACTTTTAGTGAAAAGACAACCATGAAACACATCAGATGAAAGTTATTCAAATCTGACGATGGAGTCAATCATAAAAAATACAACTAGGGATGTTTTACAACTTGAAATGATTTGGTAGATAGCACAAACATCTTCAAATACCATTGACAGGTTTCTGTACTCATTATTGGCTTGGTTAACACCACAAGTCATAAATTTCATTATAACTTTGGCAAATTTATCTCTCCAAAGTAAGACACTGTAAATTAATCAGTAATTATACGAGTTCAGTTTGTTTAAAAAAGAATAGTTAATAAATGCTTAGTTGTCGTCAGAAACCAAATAATAACGATTGGACAGTAGTCCTCTTCTAAGCTAGAAAGGCAAATATCACTCAACACGCAGTAACTACCGGAAGGAAGACTCTGTTTAAGATTTCTTTCCTTCTGCACTCTATCGAGTAACATCGATTTATTATGAAAAAAATCTTTCAAGTAGTAATAAGTAATGGTTGGCAATGTCATCTAGGAGGTGCGTCGAGCCTTATTCACAACTCATCAACTGTATGCACTTGCATTTATATATCCTTGTTCCCAGTAAGGCTCAAACCGATTATTTTAAGTGTCACAGCATTATCCATTAGGCTGCTCTATCGCCACAGATATTGCATGCATGATAGGTATAATTTGCTGTTACTGTTTCTATTCTCCTATGGGCGGTTTGTTTGGATTGAAATGATCAGCCACCATTGACAAAAGAGATTTTCGCCTTGATGGATGCTTCTATCTAGTTTATTGATAATGAACAGTAAGATACAGAGTATGTGTTTATTCCTGGTTATGACTTGTTAGATAAGTGAGAACGATGAAGGTGAGAGGTAGGTACCTAATTGATAAGTTCAATATACGACGAAACGATGGATTTCATCCATTGAACTGAAATTATTGTCAGTATGGAGGTATCTTCATGAGAAGTTTATACACTAATACTAGCCGATCGGTTTGGTCCAAACAAGTTGAAAAACACGTAAGTGTAAGCCATACTACTAATCTTCTGGGAGGCATTTATCATTTGTCATAACTAAATATCATTGAAACAACTTTTGCTCAAGAACATGATATAGTGTGTTTGTTTCAAAATTAAATGTAGATCTTGAACAAAAATAATATTT